TCTCTCTCTCTCTCTCCCTCCTCCCTCTCTCTCTCTCTCCCCCCTCTCTCTCTTCCTCCTCTCTCTCTCTATTACTCCCTCTCTCCCCTCCTTTCTCATCTCCTCTTTTATCTCCTCTCTCTCTCTCTCTCTCTCTTTCTATCTCTCGCTGTCTCTCGCTCTCTCTCTCTCTCTCTCTCTCTCTCTCTCTCTCTCTCTCTCTCTCTCTCTCTCTCTCTCTCTCTCTCGTTCACTCCTGGCTGTTACTTCATGCAGCGACCCCCGCGCCTTTATTATTTCAGCTGTTCCTTCATACATCCATCCTCCCGCTTTCTCACCTGTTCTTTATTGAACCAGGGCTGTTAGGTCATTTAGTGAGTACACACACACACCTGTGGCAGGACGACAGGCCAGCATCATAGAGCTGTCTGTATCTATATCGGTATCTAACTTATCTCTGCTCTATCATCGTCATCACCACATCGAGCTGTTTAGTGCTGTATGCCGACGTGAAAGCAGGCAGCATCTTATGGAGATTGTTACAATATTCCTTCCAAATATTGATGCCTAACCGTTTATCGGTGGGTTGATTTTCTTGCTATTTCATCCAGGAATAGCTATGCCACAGTATGGTCTCAAAATTCCATCACAGCAATATAGAGGGCAACTGCAGTCTGTTATAGTCTGCGTTGTTAGTATAGCAGAAGCAAGATGTATATCTCGCATCAATCCTGGCAGCACACTTCTACGCAGTTTAGTATGGTAGTAAATTTAACGCTGCCGGTGACTGTTGGAGTTATGGTTTGGCATCATGAGTAGGTGGTGATTCGTGAGTCAGTAGGGGATGGCTGCTTAGTGCCAAGCAATGCCAATCGTTACAGCTGAAGCTGTTAATGACTACTTATTAATAGTTTACAGTTGTTGTTCCACAACTGTCTCAGTCTGCTTGAGGAAAATCGTTGTTCAGTAACACGAGTTGTTTCAAATTAGTATGGTGTAACAAATTCTTCCAGAAATACAACAGTAGATTGGAGCTACACCATCGTTTGTGTGAATCATCATGTAAATGTGTCAAATAAAACTATATTTGAAGGACACCACTAATTTCTGTGTCTGTCTGTGTTCAGAGATGACCATGTACTGACTGCACTGTTCAGGCAGACGTATCCTTGCATGTATGCACTCGTGCTCCAATCACTTCAACTTCTTTTAACAAGTAAGTAACAATCCTAATGTCATTATTAGTAATAATAATCATAATAAAATGGTCATTTATTCTGATTGTAGTAGCAACATCTTTATTTGATCCCATGATGAGAAAAAAAGATTGGAATATCATAAAAGTATCCATCCAATTAAACAAATGTATATGCAAATCACGGCATTAAAATCCACACATTACACTATCACAGTTCGTTTAACACTTCAGCAATCAATAAACTAATTGCTGCATCAATTTCGGAATTGCAACGCTATGCACGAAACAATTATTTGGCAACGATTTACAGGTTGTAATTAAAATTTCAAGAGTAAACATTTACTCTGCATAATTAATGCGTGACACTAATGACAACTGATACAAGCTACTATACTCGCACAGTGCACCAACTCTCCCACAAGCCCCACGCAGACTTGCAGGCTTAAAACAACGCTGCTGGCTCTCTCGCTCAGAGTCGCTTTCACTGTGAGGTGACATGTCGCCATAGACACATTCGTTACATACAGTTATCATATGTAAATGTCTACTACATGTATCATGGCAAGATAAATTACCCGGTCCTGTAAGTACAGAACAGGGCGATTGACTCCGGATCAGTACTGTACAGGCGATGCAACGTTCTCCGGCGTGACTTAATCAACGCGAGAGCACCGTTGCGTGCGCGCATGCGCACGTTCGTTGAACCACGCCTCCGATCACTCGCGCTTGCTCTGCACGTTCAGCCGATGGCCCCCACTGCCGTACGTCGCCGTGGTAATCGACCGCTTACTCTCCCACCGCTCCTGCGTGTGGGTCACTGCGGGTTTGCGACGGTCATCTGCAGTGCTGAGGAAACCCTCGTGCCGCAAGCTCTGCATCCCCCACAGAAGCAGCGAGGCGACGAAGACAAAGTGCACCGCACGACACAGCAGGGTGGACATCGCGAGGGCGCCCTCTGGTGGGAAGACTTCCAGATATCCCGCTGCAACGACGCAGTACAGACATCGCCCGAACTCCATCAACGAGGCTCGGTTCCTGGGGACGTCAACAATGTCTGTGTGAGTATGCATATATATATATATATGTATATAGATGACTTCATTTCTGTATATATACAGAAGTAAAAACATGGACACCCATGCAGATATAGAAAAATATGAATATTAAAATAGAATGTGTCAATTTTTGTGTGTCTTCCTCAGTCTTCTTCTGGTTGTTGTTGTGAAGCATGAGGAAAAGACAAGTTCTCGTAAGCTCACAAAATAAAAAAATTGACACCTCATTCTATTTTTATATTAATATTTTTCTCTCTCTCTCTCTATATATATATATATATATATATATATATACAGTAAATAGATAGGGCCACAGCAATCATTTAGGGAAATGAAGCCAGGGTTCGACTATGGGCGAGGATGAGATGGAGAGAACTGAGAACATCTACTGACCTGTGATCGAACAGAGCACCGAAGCAGGTCAGCGTATAGACGAAGTGCACTGACAACACCAACATCAGCACGGCCGACATCTCCTATAAGACACGAGACCGTTGCTGTATCGCCACGCCTAGCCACGACATCAGTGAAGGACGAGTTGTTTCGTTAGGACTCAGGTAGCAAGCAACCTTATGATGACAACGCAATGCGCGACTGCGTTCAAAGATTAAGCTATGATTTCTCTGTGGTTTTCTCCCCCTTCTCCTTCGTGTATTTATAACCCTGTAAGCGTGGTTGTTACCTCTCTGTAGCGGACGGCGTGGTCGTAGTGTAGCACCGTGATGGCCATGTGTAGCATGCAGTAGAGGTTGCACCACGCTGGCACACCCGGGTCGTATTTCTCTGCCGGAGCGTGAACCTACGTGCGAACAAAACGTTCGCGGTAAAGACGAACCGTGCAATTAGACATCGCCGCGAATCGGGAGAACAATTTTCTGTTCTCTTCTTCCTGTCTGCAATTTTCGTGAACGTGAAAAGATGTGTGAGCAGCTGCTGCAATAATGAACAGTGCCTTTGCCTTTCCATTATACTTCCGTACTATAAAGCACATCATAGACAGACGTCTGAGCGGATCTGCCCTGAACGGTGTGTCAGAGCGTGTGAATGCTCGACTCTGTGCAAGGAGAGCTTACATCAGGAATATCCTCGATGCACCCAAGCCTGGATTTACCAGGCACCCAGCCAGGGCCCTTCAGTAGCACCCACAGCTTGTTTAGAAGTCCAGGTGTGACCCACGTCATCCTCAATATGTGCATGTAATGACACCACTGGAACCAGAATAAATCCATTCATATACATACTGCTATGATCACCATTTGACATAAACTAATTAATACTGGTCATGACTGTGAGATTTCTGCTGTAATGTGTAGTTCATGACTCTGCAGTGATTTTCTAATGGCTGCAATTACAGGTTAGTAGCCAATAAAAAGTCTGTAGCATCGATAACCCAGCAAAATACTAACACATCACAGGTTAACATGGCAGCGTCTCTAATATTTATACAAGATAAAAACATATTATTTATTCTTCAATAATACATATCCTCAAAAATTTCACTGCTAATTAAAAATTCATCGGAGAAAAAATGTATTTGTGTGAATGCTTTTTCATGAGATATTAATTTGATATTATGAGTTACTTTATAAAATCATTCATGGCAAGCACTTTCAAGTCAAATAATGACAAGTAAATATGTGGCTTTTCAATCATATATATTCATTCGGCTGTGTTACAAAGCACTATCCTCTGTGAATTATTGACAATGCAATTACAAGATTTTTTGTCCACACTCTGCCCAACAGCACCTCACAAACCTAGTTTGTACCTGTATATAGTTTGGGTCAAAGCTTGCGACTGGGTGAGTGAGTCCATACACTACTTCCTCTGTCTCTGGGGTAAATGTACCTGAGAATCAGAAAACCATCAGTCATTTAGAAATGAGACAACACGTAATATAATATATAAAAAGGATGCTGATTTTTTGGTGAAAATATAATATTGTTTGCTTAGCTGGTACTATGAACGTATATATGTATACTACAATCACTGAATTGAACTACCGTACTACTGTGACTACCACTAACTGTGGGCCTGTCACTCAGTGTATATTACTGTATAAGGATTAGCAGAGTGTATCGATTAGCTAATTTCACACATTGATGTACTAGATCTGGTCTCATTAATGCACCTCTCACAGTCAGCTATAGGCTAAAATCAGGGTCAGAGATCACCTCAGTCATGGATATCACTATGCAAACATAGCAAACATAGCAAAGTTCAGCAGTTTCACGCGCATGACTTAAACTTGAATGTGGTATGTTCACACTCACCAAACAGCCTGTCCCAAATGATAAGAGTTCCACCATAGTTCTTGTCAATACAATACCTGTTCCTACCTGCAATTTAATGTTTTATGCAATACTGTTATTGTAAAAAATATCAGGATCATCAGGCACAAATATGCGTGTGCGTGCGTGCGTGCATGCCTGTGAGCGTGTGCATGAGTGGGTGCGTGGGTACGTGCGTGCCTGTGAGCGTGTGCATGAATGGGTGCTTTCGTGCGTGCCTGCCTGCCTGCGAGCGTATGTGCCTGCCTGCCTGTGAGCGTATGTGCCTGCCTGTGAGCATGTGCATGTGTGTGCGTGCGTGCGTGCGTGCATGCCTACCTGTGAGTGTGTGCATGAGTGGGTGAATCTGTTGTCTCTATTTCACAATCAGCTAACCTTGACATTTGATAATTTGCTAAATAATTCATCAGTCACAACCTGATATGCTGTAACCAACGCATATGACAAGACTATAATACCATGGTGTACTCTATGGTGACTTGGTGTGTTTAGTATGTACTCCAGGGGCCCTAGTGAGTGCACGATCTCGGTATGTATCCAGAACTGGTAGAGTAGGTTGAACTGACTGTGAACCATGTACATTGGCGGTGGCACAGCGAGTGCAAGTGGCAAGTAAAACACCTGCAACAGAAAATGAGGACACGGCAAGCGATAACTTTGTGCAAGAATTCCAATAATCCTATTTACTGTGATTATTCTCCCACACTTTGGAAGTAAACATACGTGTGTTTATACTTGTCCACCAACATCTCAGCATCGTCACTTGTCGCTCCTTAATTAATTACTAGTATTAATTACTACAGTTTATTGGTAAATACTTTTTATCTATACTCTTTTTCATTATTGCACTGATGGTGAGAAGCTTGCAAGCTCATGTTAGTATATCTTAGATCAATGTACTGTCTTGAAATAAATAAATAATCTGTACACCTCTCGTTTATTTTAGATAAAGAAGTTGTGATATATTGTGCCACGTACGTTTTTTTAAACTGTGCATGTTGCATATGTAAATGCATACTATTTCTCTTTATATAAAAAACAACTCACAATTGAAGTGTAGTTTTGCACAACTGACTGTCGCAATGCTGTAGTAAAGTTGTATTCTTCAGAACTATGGTGTACCTGATGTGCTGCCCATATCACATTGACTTCTGAAACACATGGGACAACAACAAGTTGTGTTGACACTCTCACAGTCAGGGAGGGGAGAGGAAGGCAGAGGCGATAAAGAATATATGAATCGGTTAGAATGAGAGCAGAAATAAAGATGTGAGATTAAGAAAGCAAGAGAGAGAGGGAAAGGCATAGAAACAAGGAGATGACGAGAGAAGGAGAGAGAGAAAAACAGGAAGAGGGTGGGAGAGAGTGTCTGAGATAGACAGGGAGAGTGAGAGAGAGAGAGAGAGAGAGAGAGAGAGAGATAGACAGATAAAGAGAGAAAGAAAGAAAAATGTTGATAAAGTACAGAACATAATAATATTACTAACCATGAGCCATCCGATGGAACCAATAGTAGCAGAAATCTACACCAATGAAACAGATAAGCCAAGTCCATGGCGAATTCCAAGGTAAGGTGAAAAGCTTCCAGTGATCGTAGACATAGATGTATGCAAACATTATCACTCCCTTCAGTAAGAATCTATATAAAGAACAATATGCCAATCAAGTTTTACTACATCGACCCGACTCATCACCATACTTGCAAATGTTCGTGACGGTAAAATATTAATTACTACCGTTTATTGGTAAATATTTTTGCAGTATTAAAATATTTGACCTACTTGGAGGTTTCAGAGAATACTCCAGCTGAGATTGACACCAGCCCATCATTAATGCGAATGCCATTTTTCTTCTGTAGTGCGAGCACAATAGCCTCCACTATAATAAATGTTGTGAAGAATGGAAACGCCTGAAAATTTTTATAAACAACAAATTTACTATAGATTGCAGATTGACGACATAATATAAGGACATGTACTGTATACATCTATATCATTTGGAATATATATATGTGCGTGTGTGCGCGCGTTCATGAGTGCATGCATGTGTGCCTGCGTGTGTGTATGGGCGAGTTACTAATACTGCAAAATATCTTAATCAATAATAAAGTGAACACAGAACAGGGACAATATTCACATTGTCTTTAATTTATATAAACCTACCGCTTGTATATAGTCAGGTACATCCTCCAAAGTTTTAAAGGATGTCTCATTAGGAGAAACAACGTAAAAAATTCTACGAAGACCCGTTGTTATAACTGAAACATCCATGTTTCCCACAAGCTTGTACAACTGTAGGCTAACCCTAATATCAACCTTTGCGCCCGTAATCAAGCCGTGACGTCGTAGCCAAGCAACGTCGTCACGTGAGTAGGCCTAAACTTAGCTGTCGCGTAGTGAACGCTAAATTGAATGTAGACGTTGGGAGGGGGGGGGGGTATGGGAGGAGCGAGATAAGTTAACTTTGGCGGAGTAGGATGTAACCGGACTTCGGTACTGCCTCAATTATCAATAAGACTGTAACCACCACTGTGGCACCAGTAAGGCCACCACGGCAACGAATCACGGTTACTTCATGGTGCTATCTTGCGATATGCGGATTATACTCTTAGTATTACTATTTTCAACCGCTAGTAGTTTTTTGCCTGATATTTGTTTGCATAATCTTGCCTTTTGTTTGCCATGTTGTTCGCGCTCATCCCGCCCTCTAGCGTATCACTATATCTCCCTTGTGTAAAATTAAATTTCATTTTGTTTTATATATTCTACTCATCATACTTATTGTCATACATAGCGTGAGACTTGAGACAACCCTTATAACATTATAACCCAAATAACATTATTCAGGATAAATGAAATACAGTTGTTCTTGTTATTGTGGTTTCTAACCCGAATTCGTAGAATTATGAGTGTAAAACACGAAAGGCGGTCATCCAGGTAAAGCATCGTAGACTTTGTTTTGTTGAACTTGATGTTGACTGTTGTGTTCTAAATCAGTAAATTGAAGTAAAATTCCACTTCAAAACTTAATAATTATAATTTTACATGGATTACACATATTATATACGTACTCGTACTCGTAGTATAGGGGCTGGTTTCTCCAATGTTTGTCTAGTCTTGCCTCAAAGGACCTGACTGATTTTGCTGTTACTAGTAGTACTAGTGTAGTGCCTCTAGGGTAGACGACTACGGTTCGACAGACGTTAGTTCACCACGCGTGTCCAGTAGTATAGGATCCAGAGTCCGCTCCTGTCGGTGTATTAAGGCAGGACGGCGATGACACGTAGCCGATAACAGGTAATACCAGATGAACAGAACACGGTGCGATGCGGTTAACGATACGGGGATATAGCTTTTATTGCGAGTTACCCAGTGTACAAATGATTCCCCTGCATTCGTATATGCAGCGGCCTTTTTAATAGTTTTATTGATCCCGTCTAAATCCTCTACGCGTCGCCGGCTCCGTCTGCTTCCCCCACGTTCGTCCTTGCCTTGCGTGGACCCACACAGTCTCCCAGGTGTCTCCCTCGCAGTCGCTCCTAGCTCCACCAGAATGCCGTTCTTTGCCCGTTTTTATTCCCCTCTCCCGTTCGGCTCTGGTTTACACCTACCTGAAAAACCTGTGCGTTTATCCTCTCGCTACAACGCTGCCGTTCGCTCTCTCTCTGTTCCTTCCTCCCTCTTCTCGCCTTCCTACCTACAACCTATCCCTGAAAAACAACTCTCTCCCTTTCTCCTCCCGTTCGACTGCTTCTCTCTCCCTCCTTTCCTTCGTCTTCGTCCTCTTCTTCTTCTTCTTCCTCCTTCCTGGACCTGTACCTAAAACTGCCTCTAGCTCTTTCTCTTCGCGCCTTTTATACCCACTGGCAACACCCTCCCCTAAGGCGTTGCAATCGCTGTGCCTGGCCGTACCGTGCATGACTCACCGGGTGGTGTAACGCCCGTGGCCGGTACGATTATTGCATCATCGCAGGCAACTCATTTAAGTGAATATTCCTCGTTTTCGCCCGACAGGCGGCAGCAGCAGTATGATCCAATATGGCTGCTCCCAGTGGTGTGCGTGTTGACATATATTTATGTGCAATCTATATCTTATCCTCTCTTTAGTCAATATATATGTTTATTCTCTCTATACGGTGAGTTCGGTCTATTGGTCCCGATCTAGTCTACTACTCCTGTAAGTGATACACCCCCGAGATCTCCACACTAGTAGTAATACTAGTATACTACTAATGCTGGAAGCTTGTTCCACAAATCCACTGATCTATGTACAAATGAGTATTTCCTGATGTTCAATCTCGTTCTGATTTTGTAGATTTTGTATGTGAATTTGTATTAAACCAGAATGAGCTTAATTTACTAACTAGGTGACCCTTTCTGGCTTCTCCGGCGTTACGGAATGCTATATCTCTTACAGTTTATCTTTGTAAGTTGTATGCGTGCTGTGAATCAAGTGCAGTGTTTACAAATTCGTGATCGCCCCATGGCATAAATAGTAAATACCCTAAGGCTAGCTAACGATTCTATCATTATTAGTATCATTGACATTGGTTGCAGGAAGATGGTCAATTATGCAGCATTTGCAGCTGAAGGCGGTAGCGATAGTGATGATGGTAAGTGTGCTAGTACTTACTAGTAGTACGGGTACCTTACCTAATAATAACATATTTCGCCGTACCTTGAGACAAATCTGTCAAATGTTTAGTGAACCGTAAAGCCAATTTATCGCATATATGTACAGCATAAGTGACGGTATACATATTTCTTTGCGACATATACTCCCATACAGTAGAAGTCAAAAAAATCTGGAATGCTCGGGGATTAGGTCAGTCCGGATTTTTGGATTTTCCAAATTCTCAAGCGGTACTTTTAAAATTCAAATTTAAGGAGAAATAAAGAAGAGATAAACACGTAAATTCTAATAGTTTATTCAATTGCAAATACAGCATGCTTCATTTATCAAAACTAAAAACAAAACAAAAATTACGCATGCACACAACAGCCCACTAAATTGATCAAGTTTGAGATTTTTCGAAAAGTCAGGATTTCTGGCATCCGGATTTTATGACTTTTACTGTATCATGTAATCATGCTATTATGCAATATATGACCTCACAGATTTTGCACCTGATTCCACACCTCCGATCACAAAACGAAACAAGCCGGCAGCAAAGGAAAGATTGGCAAGAAAGAGTGTTTCAGAGAGAAAGTCAACTAAGAAGTCTCATATGGAGGCACCAAAGGATCGGAGGTGTAAACATGGTTATTTCTGAACACTAATATTGACTAATATTTTACTAATATTAATATTTATATTAAATTATTAAATATTAATTATAATTTTTTTAACATTTACTAATTGACTAATATTGACTATAACTGACACACAATCAACCTTTTTAACAGAGATTTACCAGCCGAACAACAGAGGTTTATCTTTCACCTATTGACTGAGTCACAGTTAGTGCTGGAATTAATACAAGATCGTATACTGCCCACATCACATGAATGTATGTGGCGTTGTTTGATCAATAACCAGACTAAGTCTTGCACACGTGTGACATATAATTAACCAGAGTTAGATTGTCCTGAAATGTTTAGGTGATCATCACCCTCTTTTCGGTTATTGGTATAGCACACCGGGTGATGACAAGTTCCAGCGTGACCTGGAAGTTGCGATTGCATTGTCGTCCAACGTCAACACTGTTCAGAGTGAAAACACATCTCTTACTACTCAGAGAGGTGAGAGCAGCAACACATCCCCACTTCCCTCTGAAGAAGCAAGAAGCAAGAATCAGGCAAAGCAAATGCAATCAACAGGTGACGATTTCCATGTCATCATTGGCAAATTAGACTGTCTTATGTGTGTTCCTACTTTCACTCTTACCCAACATAGAATGACTCGCCATACGAGAAGAGCTGTATAATTATGGTTTACAATTTATGCATATTCTTTCTGCTTTCACTAGATCATAATTCGCCTGCTGCGAATTATAGAACTTGATGTCATTTCTTTAATTGCAATTCAAGGGATCTTAGACAGACTTCAGGGAATTGACAAGACAGGAACATCATGTGGTCCTGTTGCTGGAAGCACAGAAGAAAGAGCTTCCAGCAGTAATGATGTTGGAAGCAATGAGAACATATTGCCTGAGAGTGGTATGTTGAGCCACACTGCATTCTCTATATTAGATGTAGGGGTGAGATGTCAAGACGATTCCATTTGTAGTTTTCAGTATGTACATAAGAAGGTAACACCATTTCCAATGACAGTTGTTTATATTATATTGACTACAGAGCATTACTGATTATTGCAGGGTGTGTGCTACTAATAATGACAGAATTCTCTCTGAATCATTACAGATAAAGTGGCATCAAAATCTCAGATAACTAAAGACAAGGACAGACAGGAAAAGCAACCTATCAATGTTAGTTCAAGAACTTCTAATGCAGGCAGTGGCGCAATAAGGAAGCCTATCTGGAAACCCCCGGGTAATCACCTTGGCCTTGTTCTTGATATTTATCTAACGTGCATCAATGGTTTTCAGGACTTGTTGGTTTTAATCTTGTAACAGGGTTTGAGCTTGTAATCGTCTGCCTTATATATGTTGCAAACAGTTTTGCAATTCTGGCTCCAATCGTGGAACATAGGGTTTCCACAACCGTGTCGACTTTTGTAACTGAGTTTGCCTAGCAAAGCTACTTACTGTTATGCAGTTTAGGATATTAGCCTGACCCCAGTGCTCTAAACTCGTTTCTATATTGGTTGCTGCACTCATGGGTACGATAGTAGCTGTCATGGTAGGATTCGAAGCTCAGACCTAAAGTTGCAGGAACTAGCCAACATTTCAGTGACATGGAGATTGACAGTTGTTTACATACATTCACATTCCAGCACATGCGACATCGGCAAACTGCACGACAGGTGGCGCCAACGACAAACGTGTTAAACACTCACCAGGTGGTGTGGGTGTGAGGGTGTCGGACATTTCTCTACGTGGTGTCAACGTCAACTCTCCAGGCTTGCTGCGTCTTGGGTTGTCACGACGAGCACACATTGCACCACTACACGGCACCGTCAAACCACGCCAGTAGCAAAGAACGTCGGCTAAAGTACTTATGCAAACAGCTGCAGTCAACTGCAGCATAGCTCCCTATGTATCTCTATTATCTACTCCTGATTATATCTACCAATGCAATTTCCAGCTGAAGGTTTTTCGCACGAATTTCTTGTTATGCTAGTAATTTAATATCTGCACAACATTTTTTTAAAGCCAACGTGCAAGAGGGGTGTTCTTGTGAAGTGTGTGAGGGATGTCATTATCACAAGCACCAGCAAGTGTGTAAGCATGTTGGATATCATGGTGCTGTTAGGTCTAATACCCCATCTAACATGTCAATAGCCTTAACAACTGAGTTTCTCCATGTTTACCCTATTGTGCATGTCTAGGAAAGGATGTTATCATTGTAAATAAACACTACAAATTAATACCAAGCTGTGACTATCATCTTCATTGTCTTGGAAAGTTGGATATATGTGCGTGTGCGTGTGCGTGTGCGTGCATGTGCATGACAGTACAGCCAATATAATCTAAGGAAACGAACACGTAAAATATAACACAAACAAATAATGCACTCTTTACTATAGAATACTTTTCTCTGTATTACCACACAGTGGCACATACAACATTACTAAAACATCCGGAAAACGTTCTGCTAATCTGGTTATCTGCTAATGATTACCACTAGTTTTTAATTTATATAAAACTGAAGTAACTTGATGATAAAACATTCACTTCAGGAAAAATCAAAATCAAATTGTCAAAATGAACAAAACTCCTTTGAAGGAGTTGCAGCACGTCAAGTGTGAGTGGGATAGTGTCAGTTGAACCACGTAGCTGTCCAACGAATTCAACTTAAATGCTGCGCCGAAACTACGGACTAACAGATAGCTGCAACCGCTGGTGGCGCGCAACAGTGTGTCGGGAGTGAATAGCCTGGCTTATGAAGAGGATTCGATTTGAGCGACAAACCCGGGCATAAAGGATTTGTGCCTGTCTTCTCGACGCCCGGCAGCTTACAGGTACCGCTCACCTCCACGCCGCTCAGCCCTGTTCCTGGTCGACGGCCGTGTAAACCGTTTTGCGGAGGGCTGTGTTTTCATCCCGGTCCTTCTACTCGCCGTGACCGGCGTCAACCGCATCGTCACAGGCGATTTCAACGACTTTGGACTAGTTACTCCGTGGCATATTCGCTAAAACTGCGGCGGCCTTCCGCATTATAAACAGAGCCATTTTTGTTCTGGGGTTTACATTGCTTTGTGATTTGTTTTTCTTTATACAAAAGTAATTTCTGAATAGGGCCGTAATAAACATACTAGAAATTACCACACAGTCTTGCTTAAAGGCATAATAGGCCCATTGATTATACAAAGTTGACGAATGCTACAGTAACTGGCACCTTCTGTAGTTAATAAGTACATTACCTTATAGTCAAACGCGTATTAGTTTGTCCAATATCACTGCTAATTACTAAGAAATGTCTAATTGAAATCCGTAAATCTGGTAATCTGGCGCCAACGCTAAATTGGTTGCCAAGCAAAATAGCCTCGAATTCGGTTAGGCAACGACACGTTGCTACGGGTGTTTAGCAGAGAATTGTTTGTCCCGGGATGCTTATATACGACTAATGAGCTAGTAGAATGTATCTCTGGGTGTATTCTCGGTATTGAGGCACAAGTAAATAATCGTGGGTGCTAATGAATGGGTACCCACATGTCTTCAATTTCAGACACAGGTGTATTCGTTTGACCAATATACGTAAATACGCGTAGTGACGTCTTCTTTCCATGTTTAGTCCGCGATCCTCCCATAGCGTTGGCCCCCAACACAGCCTACTTCATTATCACGAGCGTCCGTGATTCGTACGTGGATTCCACGTTCATTACAATCAGAGCTACTGTTACGTATACAGTTACGGTACTGTACTATCGCTAGCATTGCGTACGGCCGAGCGAAAATGCATGCGTGCGTGCGTGCGTGCGTTTTTGCATGCGTGCGAAAATGTCCGGTGGACTATAAATCTGTATCCCACCCGTTTCGAAGTATGCGGTTTCGAAACTGTAAACAAGTCAGTCAACTGATTTCGTGGACTGCGGATTTCAATTAGACATTTCTTAGTAACCAGCAGTGATATTGGACAAACTAATACGCGTTTGGCTTAAAGGTAATGTACTTATTAACTACACAAGGTGCCAGTTACTCTAGCATTCGTTAAAATTGCATAATCGATGGGCCTATTATGCCTTTAAGTTATTCTTGTGAGGTCACTCAAAAAAAGGTGAGGAGGTTTTAGAACACGCACGTGCAGATGTGGGTTGGTGCATGATGTTTGTGTTTGGATAAACACAATATAAGCAAATATATCCAACCCAAAAAAACAAAAGAACCTACATTCTCCCACAGAGTCTTTATATTTGTGTACATCATGCTTGCAATGTCGTCACCATGATCCAAGATAAATTATACTCAAGTGCCAGGATTTGACATTCCTCTTCCTCTTCCTTTGCTAAGATCTGTAAAAAACATGCCAATCATTACTGAGTTGATTGTACTTTCCAGCAGTAATGTTAAGCCACTTACATATAGGACCATATTTACTGAGGAATGTCCTACATCGAGTCTATAGAAATATAAAAAATATATAGATATGGTCATGTTTCCGAGCACGTTTCATCTATAAAAATTTTAACATTAAATACATACTTTGAAACAGGTTCTTTAGGTTCGGATTGACAGGTGCCACGTTGGTTGCTGCAGCTACTCCGCCCATATTGTAATCAGATCCTGTAACATAAAGAAATCGTAAGCCTCAGTGCATGCTGCACTCTGCCTCCCAATAACAAGCACACGCTAGTCTTTCTTTCTGCACATCCCCCATACATGGACATCTTATGCGCCAATACCCCTTCACAGATGTGCCCCATAACAACCAGAGTACAGGTGCCTGTTTAACACTCACCACACAATGACCTCTCCCTCCTACAATCTACATGCATGGATCCCCCTTCTCTCCCAAAATCCATCCTCAGGTACATTTTTAATGATTATCAAACACTGACCCCCCATCCCACCACTACCACCACCTCAACCCCTATGCGTGTACACCCCTCCTCACCTTACAACATTACGCATGGTTGCCCCTTCTCCCCCAAAAGACACAGAGGACTCTTCGCAATAATCCCTGCACATATACATGGTTTCTAGCTGGCTTCTCTCATCACCTCAATGGTTTACACACTCTCCAGGGGTAGAAATTAACTTTTGAACAAGGGAGTCCGTTCCTCATAAAGAGGGAGTCCACAGGAAAATGAGGGAGTCTGCAGTCTGAAGTTTAAAACTACAGATATTAACAATAACGTATGTGCTTATTTTGACTATTAAATTTAACTAACAAGAAAATCTTGGCCACAATACACAGTGTGTATAGCAGAATTTTCAGGGAGTCACACGGACACCTGCATATGTCAAATCAGGGAGTCCTACAGCAAATCGGGGAGTATTTGACTCCGGACTCGCATTAATTTCACACCCTGCTCTCCATTTACCTGATGGCTGCTGCTGCCAGGCATTCGGTTGCTGTTGCTGTTGCTGTTGCTGTTGCTGCTGCTGTTGTTGTAGCTTCTGCTGCTGCACTATCATTGCTGTGAAGAGAGAAGCAGCAATGGTATGAATAATCAATCAATGCTGTCAAAAATCAGAACGACAGAAGGGTGTTGATGGCGTGATGAGTCGGGAGACCGGGTGGCCGTACCTTGTGGAGCAGCAACAGGTCTACGCAGTGGCACGTCATCAGGGTCGTCGATGGCGGCTGGCTGACTGTAAGCAGGAGGCGCCTCGGGTAATGGCTGCAGACAGCAAATGACATGATACTCCTCACACGACCATAACTCTGACCTCGCGGGTGCTCATAAAACCCAAAATGACATGACATGCCTAATGCGACTGTGACTCTGACCCCACAGGTGTTTATAAATGGGGGCTTATGTCGGGCTTGCGAGCCGACTTGACTGGAAGCAACTGCCTGCAACTCACTGTGACTGCAGTGCTTAGGCCGGTCGACTGCGACGCGACTGCCTGCGACTGGCCGTCACTATAGTTGCTTGGAATAGAACAATGGGCAACTGGACGCAACTAGTCGCTACCAATCGCTTCCAGTTGCTTCCATTCGAGTAGGCTCGCAAGCCCGACATAAGCCCCCCTTAAAACCCAAAACGTCATGATACTCTTGATCGGACATTGAATGTGGTCGCACAGGTGTTTAGAAAGCACGAAATGACAAAAGGTTGGTGGGTGTGGCAAAGAATCAAGCCAGATACTTCTGGTGCATATGGCGCATGTGAGCCATAAAACATAATACTATAAATTAACTTACTATCAAAATTTTCAATCTCCCTTCGGGAAATCTTCAACAGATCATTCAATTTCAAATATGAATTCATAGTTTTCAACGAAATCCAATTAACTTATTTCATTTATAATACTAGATCAGTTGGGCAAAAACTGCCAACAGATATAAAGCCATGCACCCTCACTGAAAATATTTGCTTACAGGTACTTTTGCAATTGGAAAAAGAATATGTGAAACCTTCAACTGCTAGGACTTACAGCTGCTGTGGCTGCAGCAGCACCACCAATGCGAATTCTTAACGGGGCGACATCTGGAATGGTTTGTGCTTGTATGACAGTGAAGGGCTGAAAGCATAGAGACAACAGTTAATGGACAACACTAGTGTGTGTTCTTAGCTTAATTATCAGGTTTTCTTTAGATCATGTGCAAACATTTGGTGTTCAGTTTTAATAATAAATTATAGTGAATTTGAAAACTTCCCAACAGACATGAAATGATTTTAAAATTATAAGTGCAACTTGCATCATCAGCAAAATGGGGACCGAAAACAATGGCACCACCCACAACAGACCATCTCAATTTTTAAAGCAGGTTCCATTTATTTCTCATTGACATTGAACAGTAAAAATTGTACGTAACCTACATAAACTGAGATAAAACTAAAAAATGTTGCTGAAAGCCTGGGTACACTTATTACTAATAATCCTGTAGGTCTTATTTGAAGAAGTAACATGACAACAACGTAGAACATCCCACTTTCTGTTCTGTGGTGGCCAAGTACTGGACAACGCTTCACAGGAACGTTTCAAGGTACATTAGATGACTTACTTGCTTCTGTGGTCGCTCGGGCATGTGTCTAGGTGTAATCTCACAGGCATACACGAGACACAGTGCATCGGAAATACAGAAGCTGCAAGACAAACATCAAACAGTATAGACACATCACTCCCAGCGTCATATTGTACAATAGAGATGAAGCAATCACTGTTCATGAGGTAAAGATCCCTCAGTCTTGTATGAACAGATGCATTACACCAGTAATACGTCGGTGGATAGAAGTAGCGAGGAAGAAGAGGTGGCTTACCATCTGCGCTTACAGAATCCGAGCGCACAGTAGAGCGTTTCCGCCTCGCTCGAATCATGGTAGTCACACCTGCGCACAAAATGATACAACTGGTAACCAAGCACACTAGCGCCACCTGCCAACACTACACTACCCACTCCGCCCAATGCAAACGTCAATAGTCGAATATGCAGACGTCACTATGAGCGAGTGAACGAATGTGTAAATACTGGCGAGGTTTCAAATATTAGGAAAACCAGTACAGTGAAGCTCCATATATATAATGCTATATGTGACCCGCTCCAGCAAAACCAGGATTAAGTAGGAAATTCTACAAATTGAGTTATGTGCATATCTGAATAGATCATTTAATTACCTTTAACATGATATATAATTTTTGGCTATATCTAAAGAATTGACCGATCTACAGCAATTTGAAGATTGGAAACCGACTTATTCGGGAATATGCAGCTTTTGAGATAAAGCATTCCGTGTAAGGGTCCCAGTCGGGGATGAGCGGTCAGGGGCACTTCAAAATTTTTTTACAATTTTTTTTAATTAAAAATGACCATAATAATATAGAGATATCTGAACCTATATATCCATATTAAATATGCACTTAGGAACTTATTTTTGTAAAAATCTCATTTTTGTCCAGGTCGGCCATTTTCAGCATTGACATGTGTGCGTGCTCATTACTCAAAACAATGACTTGCGACTTAGTCCGTATTATGCTGGAGCGGGTCACATATATGCTGCTAATATATGTGTGTGTGCATGTGTGCCTATGTATAGTTGTTTGTATATATATATATGTGTATTATATCAAGAGCGTACAACAGTGAAATGCAACAACCATGTTGTAGTTTCATGGAATTAGTAAACTTTACTTGTTTTATATTAACAATTCTTTGCAGTAATATTATTCAGCCCTCCTACCTTGATAATATAAAATCAACTGCTTGTCCATTCGATGTCGCTACGCTGAGATATTGAGCGGTAAAATCTAGTATTTTGGCAAAAATCTAACTTAAGTTGGCTGCTAGCTGCGACTGGCTCGCGTTTAGTGTTCAGTATGTTGCCTCCGGTTGCCGCTGTGTAAGCGCTGACTCATTACGTCATTACTACAGAGATAACTAAATCCAGCATAAGAGACGGGTCATCACCATGGCGATAAATAACAAGACGTTATTGTGGAGTAATGGCTGCGTCCATGACTGCAAATGCGAGAAAAGATAGTAGAAGGAAAGGTAATTCCATTTGTCAATAAATGAGGGAAACACGCGAGGTTTCCCGAAGTCATCACTAAACGCGAGACAGTCACAGCTAGCTGCCAACTCGAGTTCCATTTTCGCCAAAATACTAGATTTTACCGCTCAATATCTCAGCATAGGGACATCGTATGGACAAGCGGTTGGTTTTATATTATCAAGGAAGGACTGCTGAATAATAATACTGCAAAGAATTGTCAAAATTAAACGGGTAAAGTTTACTAATTCAACTGAAACTACAACATGGTTGTTGAAATTCACCGTTGTATGCTCTCATACTTAATACGCACTTGATTCTATATATATATATCTTTATATATGTAGCGTTGCTGCGCGCGAGCTAGCATTGTGCGAGCTCATTAATTATGCAGGATGCCTAGCAAGCAGAAGTGTCGCACAGAGAGCAAGCAGAGGTGTCTAATAACTGACCAGATAGAGTGGTCGACCGACGGAGTGCGGGGAGAGGGGGGGCACGCGGTGCACGCGAAGCAACGCATGTTCGCATGTCGCATACGGCTGCGACATGGCGAAGCTCAGGAGGCGACAAGATAATGCCCGGATGTCGGCCACAAAGTCCGGGCGCGTATAAAAGGTTCGCCGCGCCTTGAGCGGGAGAACGTCTCTCCCTTTGTTCTGACCGACTGTTCTATTGCACGCTCCCTTATACGCGTCCCTGCTTACTGTCGGCTGTAACTGAAGCATGGCTTATAATATCCGTGTTTGTGGTAGCGTGACGCCTCAGTTCGTGTTTGCTGCGTCTTGCGCTACCCGTTACTTCATTACGCTCGTCACCGCACTATACGTCACGACAAAGTACGGCCGTTACACATATATATAAAGATAAAGTTACAAAAATAGAAATAGGTGCCAAAATTTTATTTCTATTTTCAACTTTATCTTATCTCTTTCATGGGTGTCCGTGTGTTTTTAACTTATAAGTATCTATATATATTATATTTTATACATATATTATCAACTATATACATCCATATATATATCATATATATCATAGCAGGTGTGAAGCGTGTGTGTGTGTGGTAAGTGTGTGTGTGAGTGTGTCAGCGTACTGTTGGTTGTCCTGGTAGTCATAGATAGGTAATTACTGAGCAGGTTGTTAGCCGCTCCGGGCTGCGTTGCCGATAATCGATTCGCGCATCGCAGCATGAGTGTACAAATCATATGAATGAGGCCCTCGAGTTCATAGACGTGCCCTGATGGAGTGGCGGACTGTCGTGGCGAGCCGTGCCAGCCAAGACAGGCAGTACTCAGCCTCTGACTAGCCTCCATCACCTCTACAAGCACATTAATAAAGGCTGTTATATACACGGCATGCCAGCTCAAGACAGGCAGTAGCACTCAGCTCTGCTAGCTGCGCATCCGTACAACACATTAGTAGCTGGTTATATACAGCCACTGGCCACGCCAAGACCAGGCAGTAACTGCAGCCTCTGCTAGCTCATGCGATCCCTACAACACATTAGTAGCTGTTATATACACCATGCCAGCCAAGACAGGCAGTACTCAGCCTCTGCTAGCTCCATCCCCTACAACACATTAGTAGCTGTTATATACACCATGCCAGCCAAGACAGGCAGTACTCAGCCTCTGCTGCTAGGCTCCATCCCCTACAAACAATTCCAGTAGCTGTTATATACACCATGCCAGCCAGACAGGCGCCAGTACTCAGCTCTGTCTAGCTCCATCCCCATACACACATAGTACGCTGTATATAACCGTGCCTAGACAAGACTAGGCGGTAACTCAGCCTCTGCTAGCTCCATCCCCTACAACACATTAGTAACTGTTATATACACCATGCCAGCCAAGACAGGCGGTACTCAGCCTCTGCTAGCTCCATCCCCTACAACACATTAGTAACCTGTATTAAGCTCATCTGACATAGTGCAGATGGCAGCTTGTAGAATCGGTTGATCTCGTGCCGGTGCGCTCCGTCCGTTCGTGCGTCCGTCCGTGCGTCAACAGTTTGGGCACAAATCTTAACCGGCTCGCGACGGTCACGATATTCGCAACATTTGGGGGGGATCTCAAAACGAGTTGGCGCTGTCGAAGCTGGGGGTCAAAGGTCAAGGTCAGAGGTGCTCAAAGAAGGGAACATTCCACTCCTTAGCTTAGGTATAGGGAGGAAAGCAGAATTGCGGCCAAATCTAAACGCGTCGACTACGCTCGGTGCATAGTGCCGGGTTATAGCACATGGTAACGGAAAAAGCCATCACTGGTGCGAAATTGGAGTCACAGGTCAAAGGTGCAATGGGCAGCAGGGCAGATTTAACTATTTTCCTGCGGCATGGTGCGGACGGAGCGATTGAAAAAACTTTTTTGTTTCAGCCGGTGACCTAGGCATTTTTTATGGCTTTATGAAGGACCATGAAAGTCCCTTCTGTTGAACTTGCGAAGAGTGAGTGGTCGGAATAACCTTTTGACCTCAAGAGGAGCGGTTAAATCATGATTTGTTGGACTCGTTAACAGAACGGAGTGAACTGCTTTTGTATTAGAGCCCCTCCCCCACCTCTCCCCTATCGCCTCCCCCACCCCCCCCCACCCTTCCACCCGCGTCCACCCGCTCCCCCTACCCTCCCCCTCCCCTCCTAAGAGGCAGTTTAAACATGGGATTTGTTGACTTCTGTGAGAAGAATTGACTGCCGGGTTTTGCTAGTAGACATCTAAACATCGCTGGTGTATGAGGCCTACAATGTCACACTGAAATTTCCAAAGCCTACATTGTGGTTAAAGAAGTGTGTATAATGCTTAAATCGTATAATTTCTGTATGTCATTCTTACTGTCCAGTTAATGTTACTGTCACGTATGCCACTTGCCAGTGGCTGGCATGTGTGGGCGTTTTTGCCTGCATTAATGCGTTAGCAGTCGGCAGCTCTCTATTCGCCAATGTTGCCGGGCCTAGTAGCGCTTTGCGTAGAGTAAATGACTGAGTGCTTACGCGTAGATTCTGTCTTGCAAATAGTTGTTGCTACTACGAATGATGGAGGGCTTCCAATCTTTATACTGATAGAGCACTTCAACTACACGCGCATCTCGGGCAACTTTCTAACGATCCGACGACGAACATTCTTTGAGCAAGGTTCCTGATACCATCTCCTGTGGCATTCCACTATTTGGGCGTTATGTGAACACATGACTAAACAGGGTTTACTACGAATCCGGACCACTGCCACGCCCACAGAGTCACCGGCAGTAGACGTTAGTGAGGCGCTGGTCGCTATGCGGCCTTTGTATACAGCATGCCAGCGCAGACAGGCAGTACTGCAACCGCTCTGCTAGCTTCCATCCCGCTACAACACATCAGTAACCTGTTATATACACCATGCCAGCCAAGACAGGCAGTACTCAGGCCTCTGCTACTCATCCCTACAAACACATTAGTACGTGTATATAACCGCATCCAGCCAAGACAGCGGTACTGTCGCGCTCTGCTAGCTCGCTCCCTACAACACATTAGTACCTCGTTATCTCCCATGCCAGCCAGACAAAGGCGTAGCTCGCCATCTCTAGCCCATCCCGCTACAACACCCATTAAGTAACTTGTATATACGCAATGCCAGCCAAAGACAGCAGTACTACAGGGCCCTCTGCTAGCTCCGATGCGCCCGTCAAACATTAGTCGTTGTTATGATCACCATGCGAGCCAGCAAGGCAACTCAGCCTCTGGCTAGGCTCCATCCCGTAACAAAACATAGTAAGCTGTTATATACAACCATGCCGGAGCCAAGAAGGCAGTACTCAGGCTTGCTGTCAGCTCCATCCCCCTACACACTTTAGTAGCTGTTAGTATACACCATTGCCTAGCCAAGACAGCAGTACTTCAGCCTCTGCCAGCTCGCCATCCTCTACAAACCATTAGGACTGTTATATACCCATCCAGCCAAGGACAGGCATAGTCTCAGCGCTCTGCTAGGCTCCATATGCCCCTACAACAATTAGTAACTGTATATTACACATGCCAGCCCAAGACAGGCAGTACTCAAGCCTCTGGAGCTCCATCCCTAGCAAGCACATTAGTAGCTGTTATATACACATGCCAGCCAAGATCACGGCGTATCAGCACTCTGCTAGGCTCCATCCCCTACAAACACAATTAGTAACTGTTATATACACCATGCCAAGCCAAGACAGCCGTACTCACCCTGTATGCTCCATCCACCTACAATCAAATAAACCTGTTATATACACCATGCAGCGCAAGACAGGCAGTACTCGCCTCTGCTAGCTCCATCCCCGTACAACACATTAGTAACTGTTATATACCCATGCCAAAGCCTAGCCAGGCTAGTACTCAGCCTCTGCTAGCTCCATTCGCGCTACAACACATTACGAATGTTATATACACGCATGCCAGCCAAGACAGGCAGTACTCAGCCTCTGCTAGTCATCCGGCCGTACAACAACATTAGTAGCGTATTTAGCACCATGGCAGCCATAGACAGGCGGTACTCAGCCTGCTGCTAGCTCAATGCCCTACAAACACATTAGTAAGCTGTTATATACACCATGCCAGCCAAGACAGGGCAGTACACAGCCTGTCCATGACAATTGTCAGACATTTTATCACGACCTATTCAGCATCAGGACAGTAGCCAGACATTTTATCATGGAATATTCTGTATCAGGACAGCAGCCAGACATTTTATCATGGAATATTCTGTATCAGGACAGTAGCCAGACATTTTATCATTAACTATTCTGTATCAGGACAGTAGCCAGACATTTTAATCATGACCTATCCTGTATCAGGATGTGCTGCTTGTATGTATGTACGACACGTAGGCAATACGGCTACCGACCAGTAAATCGAGCTTACTGCAATGTGGCTATAAGCACACGACAGTACAGTAGACATACCATCAGGTAGACAGGACTGCAGTCTCCTCTGTCCCTTCGTACAAAGTTACACAGCTCTGTATATATGTTCTTGTAGTCATTTTTGGCCAGCTTAAAATTTTGATAGGGTATTTTGTGTGTGTCTTCACCTGCAAGCAAACAAAGAGTATTCTCCATAACAATGATGGCTTGCTACTAGGGCTCATAGGGTCTATGTCCCCCTGGGTACTATCGGAGGGTACCCTGGGTACGGTTTAATATATATCGGAACGTACCCTGGCTAATATCTGATATGTTTAGAGTTAGGGTTAAGGGTTAGGGGTAGGGTTTAGGGTTAGGGAGTAGGCGTAGGCGACTCGCCTAGACTCGTTAGTGGAGTAGGGGAGGTACGGTCGCGGCATATTAGCATAGTACCAGGGTACGTTCCGATATATCGAACCGTACCCAGGGTACCCTCCGATAGTAACCTGGGGGACATAGACCCTCTCAGTGCTACTAGGGGTGGGAAGATTCATTGATATATCATGATACAAACTTTGACGATATATGTATGGGTACATTTGACCATTTATGATACACGTATCAATACTCTATTGAATAAAATCCATATCATTTAGTAGCTAAGTTTCACTTAAAACCAAAAGAAACATAACACAATTCACAATTTTATAGCAGTTGTTTACTAAGCGCTATACGATACTGATTTGTAAGCGTTCACATGATTGTTAGTCCTGAATGAGAGTATGGTTTGCTAGATAGTTTCTCTTGAAAGTACTGCGATACCTATCGCATCGTGAAAGCCGCTATGAGATCGTACAGTGAGCTATACCTGTATCATCCCACACCTACTTACTACATATCTTACTCAAGCTAACTCCTAAAGACTGCCAAACTGCCCAGCCCATGTCCTCACCTGGCTATAAAAACTGATAAACTAACTGTACTTCCTCCAAATCCTCTATCGCGTACCATCGAACCAGTTCTACTTCAAAAATATTCTATTAATGAAACTAAAACATACTTACACGTCTGTTTACATTTATAGGCATAGCCTTTAGGGATTTCACCTGAAAACATACAAATTTATACAGTCAAACGATTACTGTTAGTGTAGCAATGATGCATGTGCATATGAAGTATTATGGCCGCCGACACAGGTCAGATATCAGGGGCGGCGCGTACGGGGGGGCCGGGGGGCCCGGGCCCCCCCACTTTTTTGGCAGAAAATATATCATATGTCTATATGTATTTTGTATGATCGAAAAGAAATGCAAGAAAAGAAAAAGGGAATAAGGAGGAGAGGAAGGGGGAAAGAGCGAAAGAGAGTGTTTATCCACATTTTCATCTGCCTACTGGAAAATTACAAAGTTTGACGAAGTCCCTCTAGCTTTACTCTATAGCAAACAGACATGCACAGCGCCGTATTATATGGGCGTTCGCCCCCCCCCCCCAAAAAAACGCCGACCAAAAAAAAGAGAGAGAAAGAAGAGAAAAAAGTAAGAGGACGTAGGAAGAAAAAGGAGCATACAAAGACACATGACAAAGACTGTGTTAAAAAGATCATAAAAGAAACAACAGATATCTTTTAATTATTTAAAAATATTTTGTAAAATCATTTAATGAGCTTTGAGCCCAGCGCAGTTCGCCTTTCATCCAGCTCGGCATAACATATCATGCGTACCTACACAATAATATGACT